TATCATTCGGGGCCCTAGTGGATCTTACGTACATTTAAAAAAAACTATAGATGCCCACTGATTACCATTCATTCGTTTCTAAGTGTCATTCAGTATTTTTGATGTTTAAAGATAGGTCATTGTCCTGGTCAAACTTTCACATGAATGTTTGTATACAGCTGAAGAGATAACGTTAAACAGTTGAATTCAACTTGTCCTTTGATGATGCTTGTTCTCGTTCTTATGAAATTACTGAGAGGGAACTGGATGTATGAATTCATTTAGTATAAGTTCACATTGTTATACTTGTCTGCGGCCTAAATCGCAATGATCTGCGTGGGATTACGCAGTAATGGAATATTTGAATGTAGTTTTTTATTAAACAGGTAAAACGGGAATATTCGGGGTCGTCCAAGTACCTTGATTCCATTTGAAGGTATTTATATGCAATGGAAATGATTTTGATAACCGACAAACAGCACTAGACAGCTGTTTCGTCCTGTTTGGGACTCAAACCACCAACGGAATTAAATATACAATTTCATTTAACATGCAACGTAAAGAATGTCACTGAAGGTGTATTTCATGCACATAGATGTTGACGTCATTCACTTGCGATCTGTCCCTTTTTCGTTAGTAGTCGGGTCAGTTAGGGGACAGGGGAATCCCTATAAACGTAAATGTTAGAGGATAGATACTGAAAAGCGGAGTGTATGGACGGATGGGAAAGAGAAATTGATAGATCGGGATACAGCGGATGAAGAGTGGTCTAGAATATTATTGGCAAATTTAACACAAGAGTTGATATGACTAATAATGAGTTCTGTGATTGATAAATTGATTGAGATCAGCAATGCACGACGGATTATCACTCACCCATGACGAATGGTTTGAAGTCTAGTTTCCAAAGACTGGAAAACACTACAGTGGAGAAATAGAGCAGAATGGGGAAAACACATTGGTAAACGAAAGAAAATAGGACTGACTGTGAGGTTCCAAACTGCCTGCGTTTGCGTAACTGAAAAGCGGGGCGTCTCAGTTTTTCCATACAAATGTTTATTTGTGTCAAACATCGGAAATTGCTGTCGATGGTGACACCCATGTACTTGACAGAGGTCACCCCATACACAGGTTCACAGTAAAGGGTAGCCTATTCCGTTGGCAATGATGAGCGGAAAAGACTGGAGATACAAAGGCCAGTGCGATAGAGAAGAAGCCGTTTCACCAGAACAGTCGAAGACTGGGAGCTGGGGAATGGAATAATGGCAACTTGACGTCAAGACTCAGGAATCAAATGGAAAGATGGTTACTCAACAACGATAGATGTCATCATATTGAATAGGGAATCTGCTCCAACTTTGAGAAGTGTCGGTGGAAAACCATCAAAGCCTGAAGCTGAGGATTCTTTTGTAGGATCGAAGAAGCTTAAAGATTTCATCGTTGGAAAAGGGTACTGAATTGGATTCATTGCAAGGGTGGATGAAAGCTGCGTTGAGGCTGTTGACGTCCACCGCGGTATTCGAGTGTTTTCTGTTCTGCCCATAGAGAAGACGATTACCTAGCCGTAAAACCTCGGTGTTCGCTGTTTGCAGAACTCGGGTGGCAAAAATTGTATTCGGATGCGTTACATCATCATGCATAAATTGGATTGGCGCTTCACAAGTGTGAGATCTGGAGGCCCTTTCGTTGTGTTTTCAAGGTGCTGCCAAAAATGGTGAGATCGTTCTACCGTCACAGAAAAATAGGACTTTTATGGGTCAACACAAATGGAAGATTGATCTAATCAGTTCAGCGACTGACACGCAAAAATCAAACCAAGACTGATCAACCGCAATAGAACGGTTGAAAAGAGATGTGCGGTTGAGTGTATATTTCCTGACATGAAATTTCTATCTGATTTGAACGTAGGAATATTTGAAAAGCAATACAAGTGTATACTTTTGGTTTAACAAGAATGATACAATAGTCACTTGCAGGAACCGGAACCATTAGTTGTCGAGGGAGAATAAGTTGAGATGGTTTGTGATCACTCTGCCCTACACAGAATTACCTGTCGTAGGAGAACGAAGGAGGTTTGATAGACTAAACGGAAGCAGGGTTGAAATGCTTGTATGATTGCAATTACCAACAAGTAGATGCAGATTTTCACCAAATCATGGAACTAGAAAAGGGATATAGGAATCGAAGAAAGTGGAGATTTCTGTCTGGGAACACGAAGGAGATATATACACTACCGATGACTATACTTTTGTGACGGGGAAATTTGAGATGCCACAGAACGGGTAAGCAGTCAATGCGCTTTTCGGAATAGCTATAGATTCCTTCTGACTTGTCCTATCAGGTAAATTGATGTAGGTTGCCACGCCACCATCAGTCATGTTCATTCTTCGTTGTCTATCGTGTCTGTAGCAATCAAAACCATCTATTCGTACGAGAGCGTCTTTAACGTTATGACACAACCAAGTTTCTTGTACACAAACAAAACATGTGTTGGAATTAATTCGTGTTCAGAATGGAGGTTATATCCAAGATCTCCGCGAATAGCGAGCGAACGTTAATGCTGACCAATGAAATGGCGAAGCTATCTTGACTGGAGGGGTGCAAGTAAGTGACGTCTGTCATCCGGTCCGATAGCAATTTTCGATCACAGCACATTCTTGAGTCCCGTTAAGCAAATAATTATCGGACAGTACAGAATTCACAGTTTTCTGTCGAAGCACTTCCTGACGGGAATAATTATAGATCCTGAACAGGCTTCGGATTAAGATATTGATAAAACAAACGCAACGACCAGCACGAGATTGTAGCGCAACTAGTGGGAGGGTGCGCGATGCCATAAGTAGCTGTGTTTACGATGCGGACATAAATTTCAGGAAGTAGAAGGAACTGTCGACCGGTGATTTTTGAGTCAGCGCGCACACGTGATTACCCTAAATGAGCTGGACTGTGTACTTCTGTCGGGTTTGACCCATACTCAAAAACTGAAACACCAACTTGCACTTTCCGGAATATGGATCATTTTCACAGCTCGGAGCAGCTATCCCTTTGTACTTCTTCCTATGCTTTTCTTTCATGCGTTATTCTTTCTTCACTTTACCTTATCTGAAGTACAAATTATGGGGAGTGGCATCATTTAGTCTAGTTAAGAGAACTGCTCTATTGATTTCTTTTTCACCTGTGTACATCTGTGTCCATCTTTTCTTTAAGGGAGATTAGATATTCTCTCGTCTAAAATGAAAAGTCCTAGAAATGACATCTAAACTATTTGGTCCGAAAGACGTTATTTGATTCACCGAGGCTGGAAGATTTTATTTACCTACCACTTTGTTCAAAACTGATAGTGAAACTCTTACATTCTTGGCTGAGCATCAAGCCATTCATGGGCTTTCATTTCGTGACAGATCTTCCTAAACAAACTGTTGTTTTATCGATTTCTTCGTTTTTTCACAGATATCTGAGAACTTGCTTGTACCACAGAGGACTTGATCGGCAAAAATATGGTGCAAACGGGTCTTTTTTTGTACGAATGAGGTGAATTTTACCAACTACTGTGTCAACTAGGAGTCAAATATACCCGTTTTGAGGGCAAAAGTCAAACACAAAAGTTTTGCAAATTGACACTGTAACCAAATTAGGCTCCGGATACATTGCAAGCACCCGGGTCGCATGTCCAAACACACAAATGTATTTATATGTAATGGTCAGCTGGTGACCAGACGTAGTTTCACAACATTATCCCCTGATCTATTTTGCAAACAGCTGCGTTCATAACTCATTTTTGGACCTAGGGGACACCGTTTTACAAAGTATCTCCCTGAGTTTTGTGGTGTTACTGATTGCATGCGGATAGAAACTTACAGTCTTAAGTCAATGTTGCCCACACCCAACATCACATCTAAACGTTTTACATCTGGAACGGAAAGCGGCATTGCTTGTTTCATACTCAAGTAACATCCGGGGTTCCTGGTAATCTGGAAAGGTGAAATTTAAATGGATTTCAGAACATGTTATTTCAACAGATGAAATAAAGAGTGGGGGAAAGCAAAACTATTTGAAGCTAACGGGAACCGAAATCAGCCAGTATCACTTTGGCAGGATTCTCCCTTCAGTTCCTCTCTAAACAGCGCAACTAATCACAAGTCTCTATGCTCTTACCTATCCGAGTCCGAAGGTAACTGACTCTTTGTTGGTTTTCCAATCAAATCCAGACATTCACATCACCATTCCCCGTTATTTTGGCTTCCTTCTGCAGGATTCTTACAAAACTAACTCCGTAAAGTAGTAAGATATACGCCAAAGGAAAAGGAAGTATAGATGTTAGGAAGTAGTATAAAGTGGTTTGGTGCACTTCGTACAAATTGAAACAATCTGATCATCTGCCGGCTGTCCAGAGTAAGTAGCTTTGTTGCCCTCTGCCTTTGAGATCCCAAGTAAGCGGTTATCGGTCCAGACAATTTAAACGGCCGATGAAGCGCAATAAGTTTGAAGCAGCTGTACAAGACTTTCGTTCTTCTTTCCCTTACTCTCTTTAGAACACGAAATTCATTACGTAATCCGGTTACATCCGCAAATTCTCCGTTGTTGCCTTGAAACATTGTTTTCATCTCCACCATGGTGGATAACGGGTTGTTCGTAATTACGCTCATTATCAGTTGGGTGTCCAACTATCTCGTCAGTAGCTCAAATATCTTTTGAAGTTGTTGAAGGCTGTTCATAAGAGCGTAATAAACTATTACAAGCACGTTTATCACAATTTTACTGCAACTGAATGCATAACATTCAAGCAAAAATCGTTCATGGAACACGAACGATTTTATTTGCATTGTTTGTTGGGCATCTAACTTACCTTACGATTGTTCAAAAACCATGGTTAGCATCCATGTTTGGTTAAGCATGCAATGAAAAACGATCTGATCGGCTACCAGGGGATTATATGGGTTGTTTTCATACCTTCTGCCTGTGATCTCACGAGTTCGATCCTCAGTCGGATCGATGGATTCAAACTGCTGTTGTTGAGCCCCAACCAAGTTGCAGCAGCTGTGTAGCAATGTTTCTTTGCTCTTTAGTACACGCTTCATTTTTTCTGTACATGATCGAATTGGCTACATAAATATATGTTACCTTCTTGATATTTAGTCGCTTCTATGTATCCTTGCAAAATGGCGAACGCTTGCATTCCGGTAATAGTTATTAATCATAGGGTACACGTAATAGATTTCTGCGATACATTCTTGGATGTTTTTGATTACAAGAAATTAAAGTGTCTTTGTACAACGTAAGTATTTCGGAAATGAAAGTCGTTTTATTGGGGAATTACTAAGTGCCAAACGGAATTTCGTCATTGTGTTAAATCGGCACTGACTTCGGATAAATTTAATCGGCGTACCCCGTGAAAACAAATCGTATGTGAAAATATCAATTACATTGAGTACTATGGTCTTGAGTCATCATGTTATCAGTGGTTTTCGAATGTGAAAAGATCGGTATCCTCTGTGGGATTCGAATCCACTTATGGACGCCACGTAAACTTTTCTATAGCGCACACTCTACCAGCTGAGTTACGAGGCCACACCGATCACACTGATCTATTCTCAGTAAACGGCACCCATGCGTGGATTCAAATCTCATCGCTGGTGCTGGAATTTTCACAACTAAAAAAACATGACCATTTTACTTCTGATTATGATGAATATAAAATGATACAGTCAATTTGTAAATAGGCATCACTCAAAAGTGACCGCCTAGGAGTGCGCTTCAACAGTGACGGGTGGGTGAGATAAATATGATGACTAAGGCAACCACTTACTTGAGACACACGAAAAAAATTACCAAAGAAAATATGATTCATTCATAGGCAACTACTGGAACCTTTTATGCGGATCTCTATCCTGAATCACCCGTCTAGACCACTTTTTCCAATCCACGCATACTGGTAATTGAATGACTACTCAAACGCAGCACCGCTCACCTCATATTTAGGCGCTTGCTTGACACGCACCAGATACAAGCCAATGGGTTATCCCAATTTTTGTATGGATGCCGTTCTGTGTACTGTGTGTGAGAAGGCTTTCGCTTTTCTTTTATATATATACGGCCACTGAAGTCGGTGGCCACCACGCTGGTCTGATTTATCGCCCCATTGCGGAACTTAAATCAGAATTCCGAAACCCGTGGATCAAGACGCTCGTCACTGAACTCCGAAACATGCGGTCCACATGGTATCACAGCATCTGTATCGCATACCCGAGGAGGAGGAGCATTTTAAATTAAAGCAATTTATAAGGATTTCCAAAGAAACATGGGACATGCCGAGCCCGTGTGTGTGAGAGAGAGGTGTGTTCTCAGAGGAAGGGAAGCACTGGAATACTGCAAATCAACCTATATAACAATACAAATCGTTTGATCTGTAACGTGATAAGATTAAAGAAAACGCTTTTTCCAGTTAGATCAACTTGTTGCTTCAAGTAAACAAAAATAAAGAGGATAAAAGAACTGCAGCGCATTTTAGCTAGCCCGGGGGGGGGAGGCTACTCTTAGTGAACAAACGGCACACCAGTTTCATCAGTTCCTGGTCCGGTCAAGTAGGCATGGTTAACATTTGTCATTACTTATTTACACTCTATTTTCCTTTAACTTTCGTGTCTCTCTCTCTCTGTCTCTCAATCTCAGTTGCTGGATTTTGCAAACCGGATCCTCTTAATGATGGATAAACACAAATTGACACCTGTGAGCTGTTTCCCACCTCTTCCTGGTGTCTAATTTGTGGTACATGATGGTTGCCTTTGTTGCTCCGTTGAATGCATGGATTGTGCTCAGCCCAGGTTTAACCGGGAAAATTCTAGTGCATCAAGGTCATGTGAGAGATAAATGAATGCTTATGGGAGGGAAGCAAAGAAGAAGACGTGAGATACGTTTAGCATTATGTACCAGACTAGCAGCTAATCGTGTTCCAATGCTTATACCAACTGGCCTGTTCCTAACAAAGTTTGTCTGACCTGTCAATATCCAATGTGATTTTGGGGTAAAGCGGGGAGAGAAGCGTTGAGTGGAGTAATCACTTAGGTATTTGGCAAAAATGTAAAGCAGAATAAAACGTTTACGCGACGTTACCCAGTGATAAATCTGAGACCGATTCCAAACCCGATAGATTCGGATGATTTTAAACAAGCCTAATGGATTTGGTGCTTAGGGCTCTCAGGGCTATTCCACGATTCGTGGCATATCAACTGTGTACAAGAAATTCAAGGGTATTAGCCATGGTGAATGCTATTTAGGGAGACACCTGCACGGTGGATTCGCACTTTTAAAGGACAATTCCAAAAGCGTTTTTGGAAACACCATATCTTGGCATAATGTGGAACTTTCTGCGAATGACAGGGTGCTGAAATCACTGGCGTTCATGAAATTAACTTATGCTGGGAACAACATGTAATATGATTGACCTTGTCTTCTCCCGGGGGAGAACAGAAGGACTTCTTAATCAATCAATTCAACATGATTAACACACACGCAGACTTTACCGGTTTTGCTGTTACTACTGATTTTCTGAAACTGACCAGTGGCTTATTTTCCTTTAGAGCACTGTTTAAATGAAGTCTATTGTCCATTGTCATTAAAAACATAACGGGGACCACACACACAACTATCTGTCTAAAAGACAATTACTAATAACACCCTGGGTAGTATCAATTGACTCTGTGATCTCGGTACCTGTTTATTGCGCTGTATTAGTGTGCATGTAAATCTAGATGAAGCGAATTCACAATAAAAGTCCAATAAACCAAGTAAATGACGCCAAACAACCATGAGACCCTCACTGCTGTAGCATCTCCTTGGTTTGATTCACATGTATGCATAGACATAGCAAGGTTTGAGTATCACAAGAGACGCATAAGACCCATTCATTGGGAACTTTGGTTAGCCGAAATCCACCATTTGCGAACTACGTGTGGAATTATCGACTTGTCCATTATGATTAATAAACAAATCCCAATGTTGATGAGTTCAAATGGACATGTAGATGCCTAATTAACTTGTTTAGACAGGCAGTTAAAGTGCTGGTCAGCTGCCGCGCAACAAACGGTCGTTCGTTCCAACTGATTACCCGACCGTTATCGTATCTATAGCGCATCTCACTCAATAAGAATGAAGTGACCGACTGGTGCTTTGAGTTTTTCTCCGGAAACACAATTCACCCATCATATATGGGCACAGAAAGTGATTAGTCTGCTGTGTACACCAAGGGAAAGGTGATTCATAGCCTGTGAGGATTTTCCGGTAACACCATTTCTCTGAGGGGTAACAAGGTAGCCGCCTTGGTTAACCATGCAAACTTCTAGTAGACATTCAGATACGAAATGTGTGTTTAACTTATCTGAAGGTTACGATGGGTGATTGAAAATAATACAATGACCACGATTATTTCATCCTTCGTAGATTGTATGCATGCAAAGTATTTCGTGAAGCACCAGTTTATTAACAGAACCGCAACATACCTGTGAAATTCCTTGAACAAGTCACTGTGGATATACAACCACTTCCAGCTAAGGGCGAACTGTACTTCTCCAACCCGAACCGTGAGCCCGACTATCAGTCGGTATACCACAAATATTATCCATTGGGTCGAGAGCGAGGCTGCATGCAGTTCCTTTACTCAATCCAATATCCCAGCTTTCAGTCAGATGTGAGTTGTGCATTGTGGTACTATTCCGCTAGAACAGGACCTCCGCAACACGTCACTGAATCTAGCTGTCAGCAGAGAATAGCGAATGACAATTGTGCGGCCTTGTACAATAACAAATATTGAACACTGGCAGGATGCTCAGGATGCTCCATAATATCAGAAAACTTCTGATACTGCTCCTTCATGTGAATTACTTTTCGATATTTTCTGAAATCGTAGCAATAATAGTTCCACCAACCGGGTCCG